AAAAGAATCAGAAATCTTTTTTCAACCAGAGCCCATTAATAACTATAGAAAAGTTTTTCAGCACAGAAGATTTGAATAGTTATTTTTGTAGAATAATGTATTTTCAAACATTTTTTAAATAATTTTATTGCAAAGATTGTGATTACTGATTATTAGTACAATATGCAAGTTTATATTTTTAAAATTAAGAAATCGAGTCCGAGTTTATATCTGATATTTGATGCGTCGACATTTCTATTTATTGGAACAGAGAGAGTAATAGGGAAAACAAGGAACAAAAAAGAAAGAAAAAAAAAAAGAAAGAGAACGAGGGTTATGATAATGCCACAACAAAAATGAAGAATTTCATTAGAATTGTGATCCATAAGAGTTGTAAAAATACAAATACTCTTGTTGTGGAGATACTTTTTAGATAGCAATTTTATCAAATTATTACAAAAAACACTATTAAGCATCTCGCCCTCTTATTATTTTTCCCTTTTTAGTTTTTTCTTGTTCGTGCAACATTCAAGCTATATATTTGTATAATCTCGTTTGACGCGTGTATTATATTTCTAGAAAAGATGAGATTATTATATTTCTGTTATATAATATAAAATTCACAAGAAAATTGAGTTAAATGATGGGTAATTTGCCCGATAAAAACTCATTAAAAATTTTACAAAAGAATATCCATAACTTAATTAGCATATACGTGACATTAAAGTTATAAAAACCACATATCTGCTCGATTATGCATCAAATATTTAATATCTTATCAAGCTGAAATTAAACTAGTTGATCATTAATTATGTGCATTTAGTGCTAGCATGTGCAATCAGAATTGGTCAATCATATATATTTTCATTTCTCAGCAAAAATGTAGAAAGAGCCAGCAACTATAAGCAGCAAATACTATAAGGAAACAGTTAATATTAGTGGAAGTGTTTATACAAAAAAACAAGTCGAGTATGACGAGAGATGAAGTTTAACGTGTGCCTCGGTGCATCATAGGAGTCGAAAACTCTGTTTACTCTTCTGCCTACAACCTCATATTTTAAAGAGTTAATTTTATCCATGGTCATTAAACTTTTGTATTTGTTATCCAAAAGTCATATTTTTTTTTTTGTTATGTAAAAATTATTTAACTTTGTGTTCATTACTCAAAAGTCACTATTCTTTTTTTTGTTACACAAAAATTATTTTACTTTGCTCTAATTATCACAAAAGTCACATTTGCCAGATTTTGTAATATTTTTACTTAAAAAGTCTATTATGCCCTTGATATTATATAAATCTTCATATTTATATAATACCATATATATTATATACTATATAATATATTTTTACCTAGGTATTTTATTTATAATTAAAATAAATTAATATTATTTTATTTATTATTTTTATAATATATTCATACATTTAATTTTTTCTTAACTGAATTTATTTTTAATTTTTACCTGTATTTTATAAAATCTTGTCAAAGTGACTATCTTGTCAAAGTGATTATCGTGTCAAAGTAAAATCTTTCTTTATTTTGTTACACAAAAATTATTTTACTATGGTCTAGTTATCACGATAATCACTTTGACAAGATTTTATAAAACTTTCACCTGAAAAGTCTATTATGCCCTTTACATTATAAATCCTCCAATTTATGTAATACATTCTAGATTATATATTTTATAATATATTTTTACCAAATTTTTTTACTTATAATTAAAATAATTTTATATTATTTTATTTAATATTTTTATAATATATTAGTACGTTTAATTTTTCCATGATACTGAATTTGTTTAATCATATTCAAGCATGAACATATTTTCAAAAATGAAAATGACAAAAAAAATTTTATTTGAAATAACAAAAACATATTTGTTTAACAAATTATAGTTTTTTATAGTCAGTAAAACTTTTAATTTTTTTAAAAATATATTTGAGTTTAATATTAAATTTTAAGCTGTATCCGTCGATATTATTTATTTGAAACTGTTAATCTGATGTGTGAGCTTACTAAATGTTGGTATTTTATTTATTGGATTAACGAATATAGCTTGATTGATAAATCTGTGAGCTTTGATTTTATAATTCTTATTAAAAATATTTCATTATGAGTGGTTAAGAACGTTGACGTGAGATTTGTTCATAGTAAAGTTACTGACAAATTTAATAACGCTACCAATATATCTTGAAAATTAACGTTAAGGGAAAGTTAAATATACGAATATATTATAAAAATAATAAATAAAATAATATTAAGTTATTTTAATTATAAATAAAATACCTAGGTAAAAATATATTATATATAATATAGAAGGTATTACATAAATATGAAGATTTATATAATACCAAGGGCATAATAGACTTTTCAAGTAAAAATATTATAAAATCTGGCAGATGTGACTTTTTGTGATAACTAGAGCAAAGTAAAATGATTTTTGTGTAACAAAAGAAAGAAAAGTGACTTTTGAGTTATGAACACAAAGTTAAATAATTTTTACGTAACAAAAAAAGAAAAATGACTTTTGGGTAACAAATACAAAAGTTCAATGACCATCGATAAAATAAACTCTATTTTAAATATAAACTTTTTCGTAAACAGTAGTTTAATTTTACATATTTATTAGAATTGCATTGAGTTGGCTAATAGAAACCAGAACCCAATTTGATATGTTTTTAAACAGGACAAGCACCTAATCTATGAAAATATTTTTAAGAATCCGTGAATCGGAGTTCTTCGTTATGTCAAAACTTGTGGCCAAATTCAAAGCTAAGCTGGAAGTAAACCGTGGCGATCCGCAACCGCGACGATGATTTCCAACATTTGCAAGTACATAGCCATCTGGTAAATTTATGGAGTTTCCTATATTTGAAGTTTCATATTGCCAGCACTTTACCACGTTAGATGAAATATATGGTGAAAGTGATTGACTATTACTAATTATCAGTTATCCCATAGTTTAGGATCCCTCAACTAGACAACTTTTAATTTGTTTAGTTTTCTCTTAAATTTTTCGTGATTTTTAATACCTCTCTCAACTTGACATTTTGATAGTTTCAACCCTGCTGAACGCTGAAAGTATGACACACGCACTGCCACATAAATTTTTTTGTCTATGTGATATTTTTTTAAAACAAAGTACATATATTTTTACCTTTTTAAGTCCACTAATGATTTACATTATTTTTTCGTGCCAATATATACACTTTGCACCTAAAGAAGAAAAAAAAAACGTTATTGAAACTTCATATTTTGGCTAAAAAAAAATATTTTAGCTAAAAATAATTATATTTCAATCAAATATTTTACGAATTTAACCCAAAAAGAAATAATGCATAGTTTAAATAAATAGTCATTGCATGAAAAGAAAAATACACAGTACTTTTTTCTTTTTGTCGAAAAGATGCCATTTAAACTTCATTACTTTGGCTAAATCTTTTTTTCATTTGACTAAAAGAAATAGAGTTTCAAGTAACCTTTGTAGATTTAACCGAAAAAATAAATAGTTAAAACATATATTAATTGTATAAAAAAAAGCACAATTGAGATAACATATGCAATGTATATTAAGAAGAAACAATGACACAATTAGAACAAACAAATCATTATATTTGGTTACGTGGCAATTAGCATTTGAAAAATGCTCACCTCGAAGTTTATTTTTCAATTTTTCATTCCTCCCACGCGTCTAAAAGACAATGTATTCACTCTCTTTGTCGCACCAACGTCCAGAGGAGTCGAGACTATCAATTTTATAAGTTCCATGGAGCATTAAAGACGACGAAAAATTTAAAGGGAAACTAAATAAAAGTTGGAATTTGGTGGTGGAAATAGAAAATATAATTTTTGGGTTTCCCACCTAGTGTCTGTTACCCGTAGTAGAGCCCGATTATATTCGGAGTCGCGTCGGATAAGGCCCCATTCGGGGAGAAACGCTCCCTATCAAAGATATTTTCATATCAAAAGCTCGAATCCAAGACTTCTGATTAAGGAAGGATCAGTCTCATCCGTTGCACCACATCCTTTAATGGTAATTGGAAACATAATTAATTGAATATTAAGAGACTGAGTCGAGAGTGACTCAGACCAAATAATTGAAGAGGAAAATTCCCAAAATGCCATGAGCACATTCATATGGATTTTCTTATCAATCCAAAATGCTGATATTCGTCCACATTAATTCATTCGGTGATAACAAAAACCATTGGCGGGATGCCGCGTATTCGCAAGCGATCCTCCTCCGTCAAATGTTGATCAATCATTTGTTGTTAGGTGGGTGGGTACGCTGGACCCCACTTCATCCGATAAACATCAGTTTCATTATCGCAATGTCGTCGACGCCTACTGACTTCTAACACTAGCACTAGCTTCCAGTCAACAATTGAAGTCCTCTAATTTATCTGACATTAATTTAAAAATCACTACTGGGTAAATTCGGTTTGCTATGGTTTATTAGCTCCGTTGATTATTAATTTTTCAACCAACAGTTATTCAACACCTTCTTGCACCTAAAATGGACGCATAAATAAATCCACTTATATATAGTTCACTATTATTACAAAAAGAGCATCTGCATTTAACATAAATTTTTTAACTTATAAGTAGTGAGGCATAATATATAGCTGTAAATATTGTTATCTTACACAATTAAGGATATTCTATTGCATAAACCATATTATTGACCAACATCTCGATAAACATTAAAACATCATGGGTCCTCATGTTAGTGGGCCAGCAATCCACGAGATTAGGATAGGATATCCGAATATAATGCTATTTTTCTTTAAATATGCATGTAAATACAATACCAGAATATTCGAGTATATCCATAACAAAATAGGGGTAAACTTGAGAAATAATTGACGATATATAACTGACGTGGATCCATGCTGTATCGGTGTACTCTGATAAATGAAGGCTCCACTCCTCATGTGCATGAGCCTTCCACGTAAGACTTGCGGGTCCCATATTTTTGGGCATGGTCGTTGTATATAAAGCCAGTTCCTAAGATTGGTCATAATACAAATAATTTAAGAGAGCTTTTCTTTTATTTATCACATTTAAAAGAATTTGGAGACCATGGTAGGAATAATGGCTAGGAGACCTCTAAGTCACCGGATTTTGACGTGGGATAACCGGGAAACTGATTTTTCCGGCGAGCCTGCAATTAATAATTCAGACACCGTTTTCAGCTTTCTTGATGAGGAGGCTCAAAGTTCGTCGCCGGAAAGTGTTAATGATGATGTTTATGTTAGAGACCAAGATGAAGATGAAGAGAAAGAAACCAATGAAAATGTTGAAAACAATAAATTCTGGGAAACTCAACATCAACTTTTACAAGTAAGTTTCAGCTCCTCATTTTCTTTCTTAAATATTCAGAAAAAAAAAAAACCAAAAAAACTCAAATGCATAACGCCTTTGTCTTCTTTCTTTTCAATCGCTTTATGTTTCGTTATTTTTTGTCTCTTTTTAGAAAGGAATGTAATAGAGGTCTTAAGGGGTCTTTTGGATTTCCTAATTTAGCTCTCTTTGTAAAAATCTTAAGGAACATTTCTTATTTAGATCTTCTCCTCTAAGAACTCCATTTTTTTTCGCGAACCATGCGTAATTAGCGTACTTAAATTCTTTTTTGTTGCAGGCTGTACTATGCCGGACAACATCATTAGAAACACAAATTCGAAGAATTACTAAAGAAACTGTAAAAGAAACAAAGCAGTCGGAGAGTGGCTGCTCTTGCCGAAAAATGAGCAACAACGGCTGCCGGAACTGTGTCATGCAAGAGTTATGTAGTCGTCTGCAAAATGCAGGTTTCAACTCTGCAATTTGCAAGTCTAAGTGGAGGAGCTCACCAGATATTCCTTCAGGTAATAATCTTGCAGAAATTTACTCACAATTAGTCGTTATTTACATTTAAATAGAGTATGTTATTTGTAAAGATAAAGTAAAAATATGCGTGACAACTATAAATATTGTAGACGAACAGCTAGCTCCATCACCATTCATCATTCTAAAAGGATCTTTATTTTTGTATGGCAACGACATATTGTTGATATTTTAATTCTTCGAACAGCTGGAAAAGAAAATGTTACTACCAAACGATATGTAGAATATCAAATTAAAGCATCACTTTCCCCAAAACCTTTCATTGTTCCTTTGTGGCCGGCACCTCTATGCCTAACTTGTCAAATTTTCTTTATCAAAGCCATGCACGTGAAGTACAACATGATTTTTATACATCTAATAATAAAACAAAAGTTGTGATCTCCTGCTAGGGTATTATTTTATATATGTACCACTAGCATAATGCTAATTAATTACTCCAATAGATAATCTTGAACTAACTTGTTCTGTATACCGTGTTACAGGTGAACACACATTCATAGACGTGGTGGACAATTCCAACCCTAAAAAGGGGGAAGTGAGGATTATTATTGAATTAAATTTGCGAGCGGAGTTTGAAATAGCCAAAGCAAGCGAAGAGTACAATCAACTAGTTAAATGCCTACCAGAAGTATTTGTTGGAAAAATTGAGAGATTAATGTCACTAATCAAGATTTTGTGCAACGCTGCTAAGAAATGTATGAAGGAGAAGAAAATGCATATGGCACCATGGCGGAAACAAAGATACATGCAAGCTAAATGGCTTAAAACATTTGAACGTATGAGTAGTACTACTACTGCTAAATTCCCATTATCGTCTGATCAAGAATATTCATCAAGCCGATTGCCAAGGCCAAGGGCACCTATGCTTACCATGGATTTCTTGGAAATTTTGCCAAATTTACGTTATACTGCAGTCCAAGTGGCGTGAAGGGATAGGAACATCAGTTTGTTTCGATCACTGTACATAACTGAATATTCATCATCTGGGGTGCGGGGGGAGGGTGGGGGTTATTTTCATTTTATTTTCCTTAGGATTTAGAGTTGTATTCGAGGTGAAAAAAGTGCAACACGTGAAAGGTGAAAGCTAGTTCACCCACAATGTCCACTTTCTTAATTTTGAGTTGTTTCTTTTAGATCCTTAACGGATTGAAGCAATAAAATGGATCAAATATAAATGAATTTTTATCTTGCTATACACTATTTTAATCTTTATTACTTCCCTACTCAAGTTTTAATATAATTACATATTATATATTCAATTATCAATTATGTATATTTTTAGGCATTTAATAATAATAATTAGTGTCTTAAAATCACTCTAACGTATTTTTCACTCTTTCCACGTTTCTCTCTCCACAATCCCCTCCCCACATATCTTGAACCCACCCACGTTTCTCTCTCCATAAACTTCAGTATCCCTCCATTAACGTTTATTTTCACTCTTCTTCTAAAATCAGTCTATATTTTTTCACTCTTCTTCAATAATCCCTCTCAATTTTTATAGATTCAAATTCTAAATACTCTACCACACACCTCCATTAACGTCTATTGCTTGCTTAACTTTTAATGAAGAAGAAAACACTTTCAAAGACCAACCCTAATTCCAGTAAGAGAGCAGCAATTCCACCATTGACAGCCATTAAAAAGCTTTGAAACTTTAAATTCGAATTTGGATTTTTAAAAATCATTATTTGTTTGGATTGGGTGTTATTGCAAACAATTGGGAATATTGTTTAGAGTTTATATTTCATTTTTAGGGTGTTTTGGTGAAAACTAGACTTGATTTTGGATGAATTTCAGATTGAAAGAAGAAGAAGAAGAAGAAGAAGAAGAGGAGGAAGAAGACATGACATACATTATACTTATGAAATTGTAGTAAAGTTGTAGTAAAATTGTAGAAAAATTGTATTCTGTTGTTTATGTATATTGTTTTATTTAAATATTGTATAAAGTTGAACAATATTGTATAAAAATTGTATTTAAGGTGTATGATATTATAGTTGTATATAATTGGGTAGAAATAACGTATGAAAGTTGTAAATAAGTTGTAGATAAGTTGTATAATATATAATTAGTTGTATGAAATTTATTTTTACTATGTATAAATTAGATAAAAATATACAAAAGACATATTGTATAAAATTTGTATAAAAATTATATTTTAGTTTGTATGATATTGTAATTGTATTTAACTATGTAGAAATAATGTATGAAAGTTGTAGATAAGTTGTAGATTAGTTATACTTTTACATTGTGCTTTTAAGCACTTTGCCTAAACGTGTTAAAACTGTTTAAAACATTACTTAATTTCATGAAATACCTTGCAACTTAATTCAGATCGACTTTTCATAAAAGGTAAACTTACCTATCTTCAGCATTACATGCCAGAAGGATTCCATCTTATTTTGCAGGAAAAAGTATAACCATTATTGAGTATGATTTGTAAAATAATGCCCTCTAGATATATTCTATCCAACTAGGGTTGTCCTATTAATTATTACTCCTACGTAAAGAAAGTAAAAAACATAGGATATAATTCTTTGAAAATGAATGCTCTTCTGATTTTGTATTTTGAATAGCAACTTCAACAAGTTCTTAATTGGATAATAATTACACAGACTTGATGGACAGGGAATAGAGTCTAATTCCCTTTTAAGGATTTAAATTAGAATTTTGGTTTTATCCTGAATCTTGATAAAAAGAACTTGTAAAAAGTTATCCCCAAATATTTACCTAATCTTCCTGTTAATTATAGAGGAATTCTTACTAAATTCCGACATAAACCTGAAGGGTTAAAAAGAGGAAGAAAAGGGATTAGAAAAAAAATACAAAATTGTAAGTACTATTAAGACATAGTTACGTGATCAACCAGATGAAAGAGTTGTCCACTGACTTGATCACTAAATTGCTACAAGGGTGGAAGACCTGGAGAGAAAAGGGGAAAGAGGAGAGAATAAAGGAAAAATGTATAACTAAGTCCCTTGATTGAAGGCACTAATAATGGATTGGGAGTCTTTTAAGGTGAAATGTATATATTTTGTAAACAAAACTTGTTTAGATCGGATAATTAACTAAACGTGGACATTTTTGGTAATAAAGTTTCAAATAGTGTATAGGAAAGTAAAAAATCAAAATATAAAAAGTAGAGAAATGTGGGAGTATATCCACGTAAGCCTTTTACCACTTACGATACATGTATATATGGTTTAATCACAAGTCAACAAGTTTAAGAGATGGACTCCAAATTATTAGCTCTTTTAGGTTTTTTTTTTTTGATTTTTTTTTCCTCTTCCTCTAGTGGGGAGAATGGAGACATATAATAAATTTAAAACATGAAAGGAATTAACACAAGCATATTGCTCCTTGTTGTCTCGAAGAAGGCAGTTTTCCGCATTCTTATCCAAGCACGGTTCTACTTCCTACGCCTGTGGAAAATAGTCAGCAAAGCCTATCATTCTTGATTTTGCTTTCTTTTTTGGTTTTCCGATTAGTCTGATACTGATACTGGCGTTTGGCCCGATTAAATTTAAATTCGGATCAAATTTTTATATTGAATATAAATTAAAGTGCTTCCTAACAAATACGACTTAATAATAAAGGCTCGGGATCTCTTACACTCCACCACAATGCTCTTTCGTATTCTTGATTTGCTTAAATTCAATGGTACAATTATTTAAATTTATCATTGTTTCTCCCCTACCTTCCATGAGTTGGTTTCCCATTAAATCTTCCACGTGCCATGTCTTCTGTTAGGTTTTCAGCTTTTCCTTTAATTTACCGTTTGCTAAGGATAGTTTTGGGTTGGGGTTTGGAAATGATTATAGAAGATCTCAAAGATGGAATAATTAAAACTATAAAGATTAATTATTACTAGTAAATAAAGATTAATTACAAGTATTAAATTGAGACCAAAATTTATTTTGACCTTCATTCTTTGGAAACGGAAGGAATAGTGAAATATATATATATACTGAAGCTTCACAATAAAGGTTTACTGTATCAATAAAGCCAAAAAAACACATGAAAAAAGAGAAGAACGTAACCTTGAAAAGTAAATGGCAAGCTACGTGTAGTTATAGAAGTAGTAATTAGTGGGGCAGTAACTCATTATGTCTTTATCTGATAAGACTGAATTGAATGGAGCTTTATAGTAGTTGTGGATAGAGCTGAGTGACTAAAGCCTGTGGTGAATTGATCAGGATATGTTTGTCTCATTTCCAGGGTAATCAAAAGCTGGAATGTATTTCTTCAATTTCCTCTACCTCTCAACTACTTATTATTTAGTTTAATGTACGTCCAGGATAAGACATTATCGCATTGCAAGTCCAAATTTACAAAACCATAAAAAATAAGTAAAAATAAAGAAAAGATATCTAATCTTACACTTTGTTGGAGCTGGTTATTCAACGTCTACTATGGAGATTTAACATGATAAAGAAGAGAACAAGAGAGAGAATTTAGGGTTTGGTCTGAACGAGAATGACTTTGGTCAATGTGACCAAAGTTTTTTATCCTCTCACGATTTAAGAGATCTGAGCTGTCCAATACAGAGGAAGACTTTTAATCTCAAACGTTCATCACATATGCATTCAATTAATCTTAACCGTTGATTTGGCACAACTGTCAACTTAGGATACCGATTCTAAATTATTCTTTGTGCATGTGAGCACGTGACAGTACATAGATATTTGCTTTTATATTCTTGCACACTAGAAGGTTAGTTAGGACTAGACAAATAGAAATAGTACACATGTACAGGTGCTTAACAACTTTTGATTCTATTTATCTGTATAAATACATGTAAAGTTGATAAAGGAAATACACAGAAAATTCTCCACTGCTTTCTCTACAGTATTCTTTCATGGTATCAGAGCAGTAAAGCTCGATCCATCATCTCCTTCATTGCTCTATGTGAATCTTGAACCATGCCTGATAATACTGAAGCAACAGTCACTCAAACAGCCACTGCTGGGATATCAACTATCGATTCCTATCATGCTTACTTTCTTCATTTCTCTGATACACCAATGTCTCTTGTCAACACTGCCTTTGATGGTAGAGGATTTCAAGGTTGGAGAAGGTCAGTGCTCATAGCTCTATCAACCAAGAACAAGATAGGCTTCATCATTGGTGCTTGCCCTGCACAAGCTGCTGGTTTGAAGGATTTCTAGCCCTGGAGCAGATGCAATGGCATGGTAACATCTTGGTTGCTCAACTCACTATCCAAGGGCATATGGGATAATGTCATCTACTCAAAATCTGGTAGGACCCCTGGACCAGCTTGGAGCACAGGTTTAGCCAGTCGAATGGAGCTAAGCTTTATCACCTGAGGAAAGAATTGTTAGGATTAGTTCAGGGAACAAGTGACATAGCAAGCTATTTCACAAAACTCAAACGACTATGGGATGAGTTGGATTTACTAAAATTTGATGTGAAGTGAAATTGTTTGTGTGTGTGTGAAGGAAACAATGATTATAAAAGTCACTAAATGATGAAAGACTCATTCAATTTCTTATGGGTTTGAATGACAGTTATGGACAGGCAAGAGGAAACATCCTCATGATGAATCCTTTGCCAAGCATCAATCATGCATACTCTCTTATCCTACAAGATGAAAGCCAGAAAGAGATCTTTGCCAATCCATTCATTTGTCCTAATTCCTCAGCTTTCATGTCACAAACCAAAATAGTTTTGCACAAAGAGGAGGAAGGTAGACTCAAAAAAGGGAATACACAATATCCAAAGTTTGGAAACAGCATGCGGAAAGGAACTAACAATTCCATTCAGAGGAATTCAACTTTCAAAGGAAAGAAAACCAACTTTAATCCTAATGTATCTTGCAGTTATTGCAAGAAAGTTGGACACACTGTCAATGATTGCTACAAAATAATAGGATTTCCAGAAGTTTTTGAGTTTACAAAGGGAAATCAGATGCAAGTCAGAGGGAATGGAGCATTTCAAATGGAACAAACAGAACAAAACAACACTAGTCAGGGTGAAGTGCTGAATCAACACCTATCACAGGATCAATTTTCTCAACTGGTACAACTGATTAAGCAGACTAAGTTTGAAGATTTTGCAAATTCAGGTGCAGAAATCAATGCCAATGCTGTTGCTGGTACTATTGCAAGATATTCTGGAACTTGTTTTTCAGTTTTTAATTCTAGCACATGGATTATTGATTCTGGAGCCTCT